TTGGTTTAATCCAGTATTTCTCAAATTTATTTTATCATAAGGCCCTTTTCCATATACTATTAACAAACATGAAGAGATGCTGGTGTAGATAAATATTAAAAATTATTTTTATACAAAGTAAGGGCTGAGGAATAAGGGAGGCAGGATGGAAAGCAGAGAGTTCCCATATTTTATTGTGGGGCTATTAATTTGCTGAGGATGATTCAAAAAGCAAGGAGCCACACAAATCTCTCAGGGTACTGAACATGCCCAGTGCTCCTGGGAGTATGTTAGTATCTCTGAAAGGGACTGAACAGCTTCCCGTCACTGCTGTTGTGCTGGGACCCCACAAAGGGCTTGAGGCTCAACATACTTTCCCATCTGCCTTTGGCCACACACTTCCTGAATCTACTTCCTGCTTTCTGAAAGAGAAGAGGTTGCAAGAAAAACATATGAAGTGGAGGCCACTGGGTGGAGGAAGAGGAAGACAGAAGGGAAGAAGAGATTTGAGACCTCAAATCAGATTAGGATCAAAATGATTCTTTGAGAGGAAAGGCACCAGCAGCACCAGTAAATAGTAGGAGATGCACTAAAGGAAAATAATACTGATTTCTAAAATCTTTTTTTTTTTTCCCCTTCAATTCTGCCAAAGGACAGCTGGCCTTACCAGGGAGTGAGGAAGAGGGAAAGTGAGAAAGCACCCCTCACACTGCAGGTCACAGCCATAATGTAATCCCTTTTCTCCTTTCTCTCAAGCTGTTGAGATCCCAGGTACACATACACATGTGTCCAGTTTGTCTCTGAAGTTGCCAGTTCATCCTGGACCAAACTGAGCAATCAGTCACATGGGACCCAGCTGCCCTAACCACCACACCAGGAGCTGGTCCTGACTTATTTTTATTTTTTAAAGAATTTTAAATTAATTACTTAATTAATTTTTTTTTTAATTGACCAGAGAAAGAGAGGGAAAGTGAGAAAGGAAGCCACCAGGTTTAGGACTCAGACTATGGTGGCTCATGTGGGAGTCCAGTGCCTTAACCACTATACCACCCGCTGGCCCTGGTCCTGACTTCTAAAGTGTAACCAGAATGAGAGTTTCCTGAGGCTGTGTTTAGTGTATCTTTATAATTATTTTCTTGAAGAAAGAGGTGATGGCCAGGGGTAGGAAGTTAATGTGTGTTACAGAAGAGGAAGCAGGGTCAATTTTAAAAATCCCTGATAATGGAGAGGTGTAAAAAATGGGTTGCTGGGGCCTGCAGGTGGCGTGGTGGCTAAGGATGCTGGACTCCCCACATGGGTGACTATAGTTTGAATCCTGTACCTGCAGCTTGCTTTCTCACTTTCTCTCTCTCTCACTCTGTCCCTTTCTGGTCAAATTAAAATAAATAAATTAATTTAATTAAATTAATTCTTGAAAAACTAGATTGCTATCTATTTAAACTGACCTTGTGTATGTGTATGTGAATGTCCAATTATTTATATTGACTGCATATATGTGACTTTCTAATGTGCTTGGTTAGTTGGCTCCTGAAGGTTAGGTGCACATTTCTCCCATGTTTTCCCACCTTGTGGGTTCCTGCCAAGGAAGGAGAGACTAACATTACATCTTAAGTGGTTTTGTGCAAAGAAATATAAGGTTTTCACAAGGCCAAAAGCAAAAATTGTGACCTTAGGAGGCCTGAGGTCTTTGAGGGGCTGCTGAATGGCAATGCAGAATGGAAAAAAATAAACAGAAACAACCAACATTAACCATGCCTACCTATGGGTGATGGAAAGAGGACATATTTTCTTATCTCTATTGCTTTATATTTAAAAACTTCCCTAAAAGAAGTGTGCTATTTTTAAATTATAAGAAATTAAGCCTCTTCACTGCAGAGACCAATATGGAGGTTCCTCAAGGACCCACAAATAAAACTACCATATGATCCAACAGTTCCCCTCCCTGGTATCTACCCAAAGGATAGGAATACACTCAGTTAGACAAAAACTTGTGCATCCACATTTATTGCAGAGTTATTCACAATTGCGAAGACATGGAATCAACCTAAATGTCCAAGAATAGATGAATGGATGAAAAAACTGTGGCACATATACACCATGGAATACTACTCAGCCATTAAAAAAATGAGACAGAAACATTTTATAGAAATGGACAAACATGGAAGATTTAATGCTAAGTGAAGCGAGCCAGACTATGAAGGAGAGGCAATGTATGTCCCCACTTAATATATAATATACTGAATGTCTTCACTCTATAGCAGAAACTGAATGATGAGAAGGTATAAAAACAAGGAGAGCAATAGTGGATACTAGAGACAGTGAGGGAGGAGAGTGGGAAATGGAGAGGCTGCAAGGGAAGGAATCAAGAGAGGAAAAAAACGTATACAAAAATGGAAAATTATCTGTTAATGATCATATGTATAGTAATATCTTTGAATGGACTAATGTACAGTGCATTCATGCTAAAAAATTCATTCCATATGCTGTAAAGGTATATAGTGATTGAATGTAAAAAATAAATAGATAAATAACGGAGAAAGAAAAAAGAAAGTCTATTTTTCTAGTTCATACCCTATATTCTAGAAACTACTCTTTAGTTTCTGAACAGATGTCATGTGAAAACTTCACATTACTGTGTTTTTAGTGTGAAATAAAGTTTTTAAAGCACATGTCAGTGGACAGAAATACAACGCAGGATATATGCCTTAGAAAGTTATATTCACATAATCCTAGAAAAGGGGGGAGAAATTTGCTAGGAGCGAGTTCCCCCGAGAACTTCTGGAAGAAGTGAACATTCTGAGTCGGCAGCGGCGCGTCGCGTCGCAGAACAGGTGTTTCAGTGAGGCGAAGACTCACCTGGCCGCCTGCAGAGGGGGCGGTGGCAGGTAGGAAAGGTGGCCCCTGTCCTCCCAGGAGCCGGGGGCGGAGCAGGAAACGGCCGCGGGGCGGGGGGGGGAGCCACCGGGGGGTCCTGACTTATTTTTATTTTTTAAAGAATTTTAAATTAATTACTTAATTAATTTTTTTTTTAATTGACCAGAGAAAGAGAGGGAAAGTGAGAAAGGAAGCCACCAGGTTTAGGACTCAGACTATGGTGGCTCATGTGGGAGTCCAGTGCCTTAACCACTATACCACCCGCTGGCCCTGGTCCTGACTTCTAAAGTGTAACCAGAATGAGAGTTTCCTGAGGCTGTGTTTAGTGTATCTTTATAATTATTTTCTTGAAGAAAGAGGTGATGGCCAGGGGTAGGAAGTTAATGTGTGTTACAGAAGAGGAAGCAGGGTCAATTTTAAAAATCCCTGATAATGGAGAGGTGTAAAAAATGGGTTGCTGGGGCCTGCAGGTGGCGTGGTGGCTAAGGATGCTGGACTCCCCACATGGGTGACTATAGTTTGAATCCTGGACCTGCAGCTTGCTTTCTCACTTTCTCTCTCTCTCACTCTGTCCCTTTCTGGTCAAATTAAAATAAATAAATTAATTTAATTAAATTAATTCTTGAAAAACTAGATTGCTATCTATTTAAACTGACCTTGTGTATGTGTATGTGAATGTCCAATTATTTATATTGACTGCATATATGTGACTTTCTAATGTGCTTGGTTAGTTGGCTCCTGAAGGTTAGGTGCACATTTCTCCCATGTTTTCCCACCTTGTGGGTTCCTGCCAAGGAAGGAGAGACTAACATTACATCTTAAGTGGTTTTGTGCAAAGAAATATAAGGTTTTCACAAGGCCAAAAGCAAAAATTGTGACCTTAGGAGGCCTGAGGTCTTTGAGGGGCTGCTGAATGGCAATGCAGAATGGAAAAAAATAAACAGAAACAACCAACATTAACCATGCCTACCTATGGGTGATGGAAAGAGGACATATTTTCTTATCTCTATTGCTTTATATTTAAAAACTTCCCTAAAAGAAGTGTGCTATTTTTAAATTATAAGAAATTAAGCCTCTTCACTGCAGAGACCAATATGGAGGTTCCTCAAGGACCCACAAATAAAACTACCATATGATCCAACAGTTCCCCTCCCTGGTATCTACCCAAAGGATAGGAATACACTCAGTTAGACAAAAACTTGTGCATCCACATTTATTGCAGAGTTATTCACAATTGCGAAGACATGGAATCAACCTAAATGTCCAAGAATAGATGAATGGATGAAAAAACTGTGGCACATATACACCATGGAATACTACTCAGCCATTAAAAAAATGAGACAGAAACATTTTATAGAAATGGACAAACATGGAAGATTTAATGCTAAGTGAAGCGAGCCAGACTATGAAGGAGAGGCAATGTATGTCCCCACTTAATATATAATATACTGAATGTCTTCACTCTATAGCAGAAACTGAATGATGAGAAGGTATAAAAACAAGGAGAGCAATAGTGGATACTAGAGACAGTGAGGGAGGAGAGTGGGAAATGGAGAGGCTGCAAGGGAAGGAATCAAGAGAGGAAAAAAACGTATACAAAAATGGAAAATTATCTGTTAATGATCATATGTATAGTAATATCTTTGAATGGACTAATGTACAGTGCATTCATGCTAAAAAATTCATTCCATATGCTGTAAAGGTATATAGTGATTGAATGTAAAAAATAAATAGATAAATAACGGAGAAAGAAAAAAGAAAGTCTATTTTTCTAGTTCATACCCTATATTCTAGAAACTACTCTTTAGTTTCTGAACAGATGTCATGTGAAAACTTCACATTACTGTGTTTTTAGTGTGAAATAAAGTTTTTAAAGCACATGTCAGTGGACAGAAATACAACGCAGGATATATGCCTTAGAAAGTTATATTCACATAATCCTAGAAAAGGGGGGAGAAATTTGCTAGGAGCGAGTTCCCCCGAGAACTTCTGGAAGAAGTGAACATTCTGAGTCGGCAGCGGCGCGTCGCGTCGCAGAACAGGTGTTTCAGTGAGGCGAAGACTCACCTGGCCGCCTGCAGAGGGGGCGGTGGCAGGTAGGAAAGGTGGCCCCTGTCCTCCCAGGAGCCGGGGGCGGAGCAGGAAACGGCCGCGGGGCGGGAGGCGGAGCCACGGGGAGTGCCGCAGGTGGGGATGAGCCAGGCGGTACCTGCGCCAGGACCCGAGCTGGCTCTCGGGCTGCGCTGCTCCGAGTGAAGAGAAACCCGAGGGCGTTCATGGCGAAGTGGTGCGTCCTGGGGCAGCGACTGATGAAGAAAGATCCGTTGTCCTGGAACCCCTGAGCTGAAAGGGGCAGAGAGGGGCCAGCATGGGCCCTGAGCTGTCCGCACCTGCACTGCTGCTCTTCTCCTGGCTCCCAGCAGGTGAGCCGTGGAAACGTGGGACCCACCGTGGGCCCGAGGAGACAGGACGCCATTGTGGCCTGGCCTTGCAGAGCCGGCCACGGGCAGGGTAGTGCAGGCCTACGCTCTGCTTTGGCGACGCTTGGCGCGGGTGCCAGGAGTTGTGAGACTGGATCGAGTTTCTGTCTGTGGGAACCTGTTGTTTTCCTCTTTTATTAACCCAGGCCCTGCCGAAACAGGTGCAACTAAGAAAGAAACCTAAGGCCTTTGGGCTTCCCCTCCTGAAGTCATTAGGCACTTCTTGATCTCTGGAGCTGAACTGATAGGGCCAAAAGCACCACTCTTAAAATTCCTAATTCTTTTTCCTTTCATCTGATACTCATTTTTAGGCTTTATATATGATGATAACCATATTAGCCCAGAAATGCATTTACTTTATTCCTGGTAGGTTATAATGTGTCCTCAGTGTATTAAGCAAAGTTCCACTTGATTCCGAATCTATTTTACAAAGCCGGAGCTTGTGCCTTTTTGCCAGCCATGCCCAGGGTCACTTTTCTACTTTCTTTGTGTCCACCCACTTGTCTGATTTTACTCCTTGCTTGTTATCTCCCCACCAAGTGCTCAACCACCTGTCTTCTCAGCTTCATCCTCTTCAGCTCCACACCAGTCCCCTCCCTTAATGTGGAGAACATGGTGCTATCGGTCTTGGGGTATCTCTTAGAAATATGACAGAAGTGTGTATCTGCATGAGTGAGACCAGGTGGGAGAGGGTAACTGAGCGATCGTATGTGCATGCTCTTTCGGCATTTAAAACGATGGAACCTTGCAAACAAGAACTAATAGGTTCTCTCGGGAGTTTTTACTGTTTTGTTTCATTTTACTTTCCTCCCCTCTTATAAGAATAACTGCTCTCTTACCTCTAAGTGATCGTTGGAAAGTCAGCTCAGAGTTTGCTCATAGATCAATTTTTGTCTTGAATTTTTTTTTTCTTGATTTTTTTGCCACAAGGTACATTTGCCTGCTGGAGAGACAGAAATAGGGAGAGGGAAAGTGAGAAATCACCCCCTGGCGGTGATTTCTTCTCCTTCTTCTTTCAGGATTTGGGGCACATACACACATTCATCTAGCATATTTTTCAAGCTGCTGAGTCCAGGACTTGAACCATGGAGATGGCCTTGTAGGATCCAGCACCTTAACCACCATACATCTGCTGGTCCAAGTCTTGAATTTTTTTTGAGGGAAAAGATTTGATATGAAACTGTACAAAGAATGTCCTTTTTACAGGCTGGATAAGACAGGAGAATCTCTGAGATCTAACTAAGGCTCATTCAGATCAGATTCTATAATAACATAAGTTTAATGCTGAGAATAAAAGGGAAAAAAACTAGAAAATTAGTATCCCAAAGCCTTGTGGCTTACAAGGTTTAGTACAGGATATAGATCCCATAAATTGTCTGATGCTGACAAGACTAAATGTTGCACACCCATGACATAAAAGGGATGCCCCAAATTCCATTGGAGTCCCCTGTTTAGATTGTGAATGCAAATTCATAAAATCCCGCAGCTTTGTGGTCTTTTCTCCTGTGCTTCACAAGCTCATCTAAAATTTTACAGCAGCTGGAGATTTCTTCTTTTTTTTTTTTTTTTTTTGCTATGGGGCACATGTGCTTGCCAGACAGACAGAGAGAGACAGAGAGACAGTGAGAAATCACCCCCTAGGGGGGATGGCCATGCCACAATCCCTTCTCCTCCATTCTCCTCTTGGGATCTTGGGCATGCACGCACACACGCCTGGCGTGAGTTTAAGCCACCAGGTCTGGGACTCAAACCGCAGTCGACTATGTGGTAGTCCCGTGACATAGCCATTACGCTAAATACTGGTCCCAGCAGCTGGAGATTTCTAAAGGTGCTGGAGCTGCCTATTCAGGAAAATGATATCTGTTCCCTGCTCTGCCCCCGTCACCCCGTCCCCAGAAGTGGGACTTTATAGACAGCAGCCACCCAGGTCAATAGAATTAAAAAAGCCTTATAGACAGAACTCCCACTAGGGTATAAATCCTAATCCTTAAAGACAGCAGCGTAACATTTTCAAAAGCTATTGAACCTTTATGAAGAATATTGAACAGTGACCATTTTTCAAATACAGTGGTTGTAACCTGAGAGTATATTCTGATAGTAAAGCAAATTGCTAAATGGAGCAGTACTTCGGAAAGCAGAGCTCCAAGTCTTTATGAATCAATCACTTAGTGTTCACAGTCAGGGTGCTAACCTGGTGCATTGATGCAGTCTGTGGGGGTTGCCTGACATTCTTTAAATGGAAGCCTACTTGTGTGGCACCCTTTCTAGCCAGAGAATGCTGAAAGTCAAAAAGTCCTACGTGGACATCTAAAGTCACTTTCACTTCATAGATGAGAACTTGAGATTTTAACTGTTTGACTCTACTTTGAGGGGAAATAGCTACTATGTGTAGAATGTAAATAAAACTGCATACAGCTCTTTAATGTGGTCTGCATCAATGATGTTTGTATGACTCTGGGCAATTTACTAAACTGTTCAAAGCTTCCAGTAAACAGGAATCATTATAGTACATATCTCATAAGGTTTTGTGACGATCAAATGAAGTAAACATTTTAGGGACCAGCAAGTGGCATAGTGGTTGAGGTGCTGGACTCCTACATGGCTGACCTGGCAGGTTGAAAATCCCGCTGGGCACATGTACATGCATGTCCAAATGCCTAAGAAAAGAATGAAGGAGAAGGGATTGTGACATGGCCATCCCCCTGACCCTGGGGACTCACTCCCCACATTCTCTCTCTCTGTCTCTCCAGCAAATACACACTCCCTGTAGCAAAAATCTCCTTTAAAAAAAATGAAATAAACATTTTAAAACACTTAATATGGCGTCTGAACAAAGTGAAGAGATTAATAAATATTAGCTATTATGATCATGGTAGTCATTATTTAGACTCAAGTAGTCTTGTTAAAACCCAACTTTAAAGAAGTGGATTTTTTCATCCTCTTTCTTCCTATGTCTAAGAAACTGAGCTGTCAGGTGATCACCACGTTGGAATTTGGAATCTGCCACCTACCAACTATGACTTTGGATAAATTAGTTAAACTTGCTTCATCTAGAAAAACTGAAATTTCCAACAAACTTTCTTATCCTTACCCCTCCCTTGGGAGCAAGGCCCAACTCTTTTTTCTTTTTTTTTTTTTGAGAGGTTTTTGCTATAGGGCACGTGCGCTCACCAGACAGACAGAGCGAGACATAGAGACAGAAAGTGAGAAATCACCCCCCAGGAGGGATGGTCACGCCACAATCCCTTCTCCTCCATTCTCCTCTCAGGATCTTGGGCACGCACGCACACGCGCCCAGCGTGAGTTTTAAGCCACTGGGTCCGGGACGCGAACCGGGGTCGACTACATGGGAGTCCAGCAACATAGCCATTACACTAACTGCTGGTTCCCACAAGGCCCAACTCTTGTTGGTTTGGTTAAGGGGCTGACAGGTGGCATGGCGGTTAAGTTGTTGGACTCCTACATGGATGACTGTAGTTCAAATCTTCTACCTGGTGGCTTGCTTTCTCACTTTCTGTCTCTCTCTGATCAAATTAAAAGATAATAACAAGTAAATGATTCTTTTTTTAAAAAAAAAAAGATCAAACACAGTGTTAAACATGGTCATCACTCTGGAAATGTTGAGCATGAGTCCTTCCCCACTGCTCTCACCTTTTTCTACAATTTTAAACAAAACTTCGCCGAATACTCTTATGCTCAAACTGAAGATTAAGCTTCCTCTCTTGTTCCCAGTGCTTTTCAAAAAAAAATTTTTTTTTACAGCTTCTAGTAAGAAATGTAAGTTACATTGCTACATGTACTCACACATATACAGTTTATCAAATAGAAAAAAAAAATGGTTTGCAAAAATATCTGTTGGGGCCAGCTCCATGGCAAAATGGTTAAGGGAGCTAGATCCCACATGACCAACTGTGGTTTGAATACTGGTCCAGACACTTGAAAAACACACCAGGTACATGTGTATGTACATGCCCCAAATTCTTACAGGATAGAGAATGGAGGAGAGTGGATTGTGGCATGACCATACCCTATTTGGGGGTGCTTACTTTCTCTTTTTCTGACTAGCACATGCACCCTCTGGCAGTGAAAAAAAAAGCCATTGAATAAAATAATAACAATTGATACCAAATATTTAAATGCATAGAAAACAATCTCCACATTAACAATATTAAATAGAAAAATACAGAAAGTTGATTTTCTCAAGGCCGAATATGAGTTGCGATACTTACTTTGGAAAACGTACTAGAGTGTGTTCATTTTGGTCCATCACCTTATTCTCTTCTATTTCTAAATAAGAGTCAACCAAATTCTCTGATTTGCATCCAAGTTACCACAACTAAAAAGTGTAGGCCAATAGTGAAGTTATATCAGGTTGAGGTATGCATTGGTCAGTGTGGCTTGGGGCCCCTGATGAAGCTTCTGAGGTCAGGGGATCTTGGAAAGTTACCACAGTTCCTATATTCTGAACTCTGTAAAGATCAATTGTCAGAGTTGTTTTCTTTTTGTTGTTTTTTGTTTTTTTTTGAGAGAGTTCTTTTGCTATAGGGCACATGCGCTCACCAGAAAGATGGAGAGAGACAGAGAGACAGAACGTGAAAAGTCACCCCACAGGGGGGTTGGCCACACCGCAGTCTCTTCTCCATTCTCCTCTCAGGATTTTGGGCACACACATACACGCACCTTGTGTGAATTTTAAGCCTCTGAGTCCAGAACTCGAACTGTGGTCAACTACGTGGGAGTCCAGTGACATAACCATTATGCCATCTGCTGGTCCCCAGAGATTTTTTTTAAAGAAATAATTGTTTACCACACAAGTGATATGTAAATATTTTCTCCTTAAAACAAAATATTAAATTAAGGCTAAAGTAAGTACCTGCAGTTCTTTACATAATGGGCGAATAGCTCTGGTTGCCTTTGTCCAATCTCAAAATTTACTCTTAAAA